CAATCTGCTCTAAACCAGCAACCACTAAATTTGGATTATTTAGAGTTCCTGACTCGCCATGAGCTTATAATGTTTGAATCATTCTCTGAGCAGATAGGAGGTGTATCAGAGATTGCAGAAGCACTCCAAAATCTCTATCATCTGGTCCAGTGTGAAATTAGTGACAGCTCTATGCCCACTGTGGAACTGGAAACAGAAGTTGGTCCAGGTTCTGGCCATCCCAAAATTATAATAGAGAGAGAAAAACTGAAACAATTGTTGGACACACATCTGCCAGTTACATGCATTGCTAAATGCCTTGGTGTATCAAGAAGGACAATTTTCCGTAGGATGCAAGAATTTGACTTGTCTGTGAGAGGATCATACAGCACAATGACTGACCAAGAGCTTGACAACATTATATCAGCCATCAAAAATCAGATGCCAAATGCTGGTTATCGAATGGTTCAAGGACATTTGGTTTCAATGGGCATCCATGTTCAGTGGTGGAGAATGACGGCTTCAATGCATCGAGTTGATGCTGCTGACATCTTGTCACGGATCACAGAACTAGGGTGCGTTGTGCGAAGAAGCTATTCTGTGCGAGGCCCACTCTCCCTGGTTCACATTGGCACAAACCACAAATTAATAAGGTAAATTAGCATGCTTATTGTTTTGTCTAACACAAGTTGGATGGTAAGGGGTATGTCATACTTTAAAAAGACATTAATCAAACTTATCTAATGTTAATTGATGATTTATTAAAGTGTCTCCAATTTAAAGAAGGCCCTCAGACAAAAAAAATATTTTATATAACTTAATATTTTTGTTGGAGTTACTGATTGGAGCAATATTACAAATAAATAGATTACAGGATGTGAAAATGCCTGGAGTATTGTCAATGGTAATAATCCAGGAGCATTCATTTACACTGCATGTACAGTAAACACAATGTGTAATACTGATTGCAATAACATTTTATGACAATATGTACATTATGTCATATTTTTCATAATAAGTCAAACTTGAATAATCTGCAGAGAGCTGAATTAAAACTTTATAGCCATGTTCAAAGAACTAAAATATTGAGTGGCATTAACCATATTTAAGTTCACACATTCTGATGTATGCATAATATTCAGCATCCCCTTTGAAAAAGACTTCTTATTTTATGTAAGTAAATTACTGTGATGACCGTGTGCAGGGCGAGCGAACAGGAAGCGGGGAATCAGGGTCAGGCACACGAAAATCCAAAACAAGGGGGTTTATTGCTGACAGAGCACAACACGGTGAAAACGTCTATGACAAGACTGGAGAAACGCGGAGTTAAATACAAGAGACTAATCAGAAATAACACAGGATAGCTGGTTACGTTGGGATTTCACATGAAGTAACGAGGGGGGTGTGGCACATGGAAGGATCGTACGAGCAGGTCATGACAATTACAAATGTTTTAGTTGAAATAATGAGTTCTGATTCTTATCACAGAAGAATAACATTAGTGAAATTGTGTCCTCCCATCTTGAACAGGTACAATGTTGTGATCTTCGGTGGAGTGGATGGCTACTCAAGAAAGGTAATTTTTTTCACTATTAAATGTATCATATTGATGAATAAATTTAGGCTGTAGACTCTTGGCGTTACGAATTAGAGCTAATACAATTATTGTATGAAGATCTCAGAGTCTGCACTTGGACATAGCTGACTTAAACAGGCGCTTCAGAAGCAGGTGTTTAAGGCTTTAAGTATTTTTATACAGACTACATCTTTCCAAATGATCACACATTTGGCTCAGCACCTGTTTAAGGTAGTTTCAACAAAAGCTGAACATTATAACATTTGTGAAGGGCGCAAGGCTGATGGATTAGACAGCATCATTTTAAGCTACCTGCAACGAAATGTATGTAGAGTTTTTGTATGTAGAACTGATGTTTGAATATATATCAATTGACATATGAAATGCTACAAGGATCAGTTACCATGCTATATTTCATTAACATGCTTTGTACAGTACTGCACTAAAAGCTCTTAGGCCAGATATAGGAGTCTAATACATTTTCCATATGGTTTCAGATCTTGTATTTGGATGCTGCGACAAACAACCAAGCAAAAACTGCAATTTCATTCTTCCTGAGATCAGTTCAGCTTCATGGCTTACCATCAAGGTATTTTGCTCTGATTAAAATTTAAATTATACGCTGCCAAAAAGTTTAATCTATTGAAGTTACATTAAATTTTGGTAAATGACACTGAAACTTATTTTCATTTCAGGGTTAGGGCAGATCAGGGAGTTGAAAACCTGGACATTGCACATTTCATGTTTGCCACACAGGGAACAGGGAGAGCAAGCTTCATCTCTGGAAAGAGTGTCCATAATCAGAGGTTCGTCTTTTTCTTAGTTTTGTTGGTAATTTATTGTTTGCATTATTACAGGTTGTCCTAGCAATTTGGATGTTTATTGGGAACAAATTGCAGTGTTAATCCAAAATAAACTAATTAAAATTTCATTACAGAATAGAACGACTTTGGCGTGATGTCTGGGTTGCAGTCACCAGCAAGTACCATGATATTCTTCAGGAGGAGGATGGTCTGCTTGACATCTCTGATGCTGTCCTTCTCTTTGGGGTGCACTACATTTTTGTCCCTCGACTCCAAGCAGATCTTGACACCTTTACTGGAGGATGGAATAATCATCCTCTACGGACAGAGGGTGGTCTATCTCCTGAACAGCTGTGGTATGTGGGAGATCTACACTATCTTGACGAGGGGGAGGGACTTCAGGTACAAGAGCATAAAAAGACACATTTAACATTTTAAAAATGGTTTAGTTGCAAAAAAAATAGGCAATTACAATTCAACTGTGGTGCACAAAGCCCACACCTAATGATGAAATCAAGTTTCTTGTGGTTTGAAAGATCTGAATCAATGCGTCTTTCATGCGTTTTGAGTAGATGCAGCTGTTTTTGTTCTGTTCTGTAATGCATAATGCATTTGAGTTCAGTGGTGTTGAGGAATATATGACAGATGTATTGAAAGTCACCAGTGTCTGTCATGTTTAAATTCCTATAATAAAATGAAAACTCACACCTATTTTGTAATATTTATTTATTGTAAAAAATACAAAAAGCAACACACAACCAGTCCTGAACTGACTTTAATAGTGTATTGTGTTTCTGGAATTGAAGGAGCTTCAAGACCCAGGTATTGACTGGGAGAGTGCTATGCTGCGAGAAGACTCTAACGGCGCAGTTGTGGTTCCTGAATTTGATTGCCCACTGGATGAAGGAACCCTGGATGAACTTCAGAGAACTGTCAATCCTCTGGAACATTCTCACTCACATGGTCGTGACTTGTACATGAAATTCTTGGACTTTGTGTCAAACCAACAGTGACATTTGAAGAACATGAAATTCAACACATTAGTTGGTCACAGATCTCAAACATGGATTTTTGAAGAAAGAAAATTAAACCTCTTTCCAACATGAAAAATTGCCTAACTTTTGCTTATTCCAGCAGAGAGGAGGAGGTAAGGAGCATGCACTGATTACAGTGAATGCCACACCCACCACATGACAAACACCTAAGGGATGAGAACCTGAGTGCAGCCATGTGGCGGGTGATACCTCAGCACAGGTTTTTTCTGATGGCTGGAGTGCCAATCTTACCACCAACCCCCAAGTCAATCCCTGTAAGTTGGAGGACCTCCTTATAGGGCCGGATGTAGATTAACGTCATACCCAGGACGTTATTCCACCAGCTAACGCTCAAATATTTTTATTCATTTTATGTTTCAATTGCAAGAGAACTAGTGTTAAACTCTATGGAATCCGCCACCATATCTAACTGCTTCACCCATGATGCTTCTGAACTCACTGTATGTGTTTAAATGCTGTACTGGAAAAGTCACAGTACTGGTACACGCACTCACAACTGGGTAACAAATGGAGTGATCTCCTAGTCGCTCTCTGCATTTGTGGTCAAACTTGAATATTATTTTGAAATTCCTCTTTTCATCGGGGAGGATGGGAATGTGGCCTTGGCCAGTCATCCACTGGAGCACGTGCTGGACTTCAAGAGACTGACTCTTCACCAGCTGCATTATCAGTCTCCCCATCTGCAATGTGTACAAAGATACAAAAAGATGTTTGAAATATATACAGAACAGAATACCTTTTACTATCATTGCACACATGTATAACGAAATTTAGTATACATGTCCCCTGATCAGTATTACAAGACCGAATCTTCAAACAGATTTAACATGTGCTCTGCATCTTAAGCTACACAAACATGACAAAGTAAAAACAGCAATAATATAATCAATAAAACAGTGACTGTCTCTGTATAACATGTATATATAAGATTAAGTATATAAATGGTAAATAGTGGAGAAGTTCCATTATACAATAATTGCAACAAGTCCTAAGGATATTGCACTTTTGTCCCATGGATGCCATGGGTAACGGTGAAGACATGAGAACAGGTCCTTGCATTTAGATGCAGTGAACAGTTCAGTTCTTTGGTAACACCTTTGAAGAAAAGCACACACAAATTAAACACTATTCTGATATGTAAAAATGTCAGAATTAGTTATCCCATTTACACACCATACACACCACCATTACCGAATGATGCTTTCTTTATTATCTAGCTTGATCTGGCTAGTGTATCCAGAGCTTACAATGTCATCAGCCCACAAAATCAGAGACTGTTCATCTGCCGAATTTTCAACCTGAAAATATTCAGTGTTGAAAGAAAACAGAGAACAGGGTTTCCGCGGGTCTTAAAAAAGTCTTAAATCACTTTTCCGTGAATTAAGGCCTTGAAAAGGTCATAAATCAGACCAGCAAGTCTTAAATTCATATGATCATGGCATTCATTTTTGTGAGGGATTGTTTCCTCGTGTGTTTTGATTTTAAAGAGAAGCGAAAGCGTAATTTCTGTGCTACATGGCTTAGATCGCTCAATATTCATTGAACGGTAGATGGTGTTATGTGCTGCTTCATCTGTCAGTAACCCGAAGAAGAACTTGACAAGCATGCGCAGATGAACCCTTTCTTCTAAAGCGCGCTATTTAGACATGTAGTGCGATTGGAAGGCCGAAGAATACGTTACCTCGGAGAAATGGGGAAATGCTTATTTCAGCCTAAATGGACAAAAGACAAAAGGTTTGCGGTTTGGTTGAAGTCTGTACCAGGGAATGTTTTTCAAGCTTACTGTTCAACATGTCGAAAGACTTTCCAGTTGAGTACGATGGGAATAAAAGCAGTCGAATCACACTTAGCCAGCACCAGACACAAACAGCAAGAAGATATCACCCAGACTTCGAATATATTACAATACTGTTCTCAAGACACAACCGCAAAAAATACAACGAGCGTGTCAGCTTCGTGTACGCATGTATCTCCCGCTGCAACGGTTTCTTCCATTAATGAATCTCCCTCTGCGACGCCTTCTTCCACACGTGAGTCTCCCGCTGCAAAAACACCCGACCGAAATGACTTAAGAGTTTTATTTGGCAGCACATCAACATTGAAGTCGGAAGTGTTATGGGCTATGCGTACAGTATGCTGCCACGACTCCTACAAATCAAATGACGATATCGAAAAGATCTTTCGTGTTATGTTTCCTGATTCAGAACTGGCAGCGACATTTTCATGTGGAAAAGACAAAACGGGTTACTTGGTGAAATTTGGAATAGCACCATTTATTAAACAGCAGTTGATTTCCGAGGTGAGCCAAGACTCTTTTGTGGTTATGTTCGACGAGAGCCTTAACAGAAGTACCAACANAATAGCACCATTTATTAAACAGCAGTTGATTTCCGAGGTGAGCCAAGACTCTTTTGTGGTTATGTTCGACGAGAGCCTTAACAGAAGTACCAACAACAAACAAATGGATCTGCATCTTCGCTACTGGGCTAGTGATCGCGTTCAGTCTCGATATTTCGGCTCCCAGTTTCTTGGACATTGCACAGCTCAGGATTTGCTCCATAATTTTATGGTGAGTTATGTATGCGCAGTCTCTTATCCTGTCAGCGTTTATGTCTGAACTAATTTTAACAATAATTGTAACTGTTTTACAGATCATGGTCTAGAGCTGCACATTGAAAGATCTCAAACTCTATTCAAATAGACATTCAGATCCAGAGAGAGCAGTTGACATGTATGAAACAGCTTAACAGTCTTTAGCTTCTTTATTCTGTTACAATCACTCAAATAATAAAAGTACTGGGATAACGGTTTATAGTTTAGGATAGAAACACTTGTCTATGGTAGTAAAAAAGATATCATTGCATAATTAGGCCAATGGGTGGCGACAAGTGACAGGTAAAATTATTTGTCACATATTGAAAAGATTCCTTCAAAAACACATATTCATCCAGTAATGAAACAAGTGAAGCCTCTGAGTGAATGATTCGTTAAAGTCAGTCATTGAATCATTCATCCAACAAATTTATAAATAATTTTTAATTAGACTGAAGCAATTAAAGTTTTGTCAGAACCACTTGTATTACATGTTATTTTGCGTTGTCTGTTTTCTTCTTTTGAACCATAGAAGAACTGTGATCACTATTTAAAAAAAAGAGGCTCAATTTATCCAGAATCGTGCAGCTCTGTCATGGTCTGAACATGTTAAAAGTCTTGAACCTTGTATGTTTTTTAGTACTTATGTAGTAAGGATTGACAAGCCAACATAATGATTGTTTTGAAAACTCATGAGAGCTGACTTCTCTATTCAATCCATTAATTTTTGATGGCCCACTTGTGAATAGCCTGGGGTCTATAGAACAGAAACATTTTGTGACACATCCTATATTAAGTTGGCATTCAGATTTTTTTACTTCCAGGAGTGCGTGGAGAAACTGAATTTACGAAATATGGTGTATATATCAATGGACGGGCCAAATGTAAATTGGAAGTTTTTAGAACTCCTTCAACAAGAACAAATGGAGCAATTTGGAGGATCACAGCTAGCTGTTGTTGGAAGTTGTGGACTCCACACTCTGCACAATGCCTTCAAACATGGCTTTGCAAAATGGCAGATAGACAAACTGTTGAAGGCTTTACATTCACTGTTTAATTGTGCTCCAGCAAGAAGAGAAGATTTTTGTTGTGTGACCAAGTCTTCTACATTCCCTTTACACTTCTGTGGTCATCGTTGGCTGGAAAACTTACCAGTGGTTGAAAGAGCTGTGGAGATTTGGCCATCCATGGAGACATATGTAGATGCAGTCAAATCTAAGAAAATTCCAAACCCTGGTTCGTCATCCTTTGACACCATTGCCGCTTCACGAGAGGACCCCTTGATACTTCCAAAGCTTCATTTCTTCATGGCTATGTCAAGGACCTTTCAACCATTCTTGGAGAAGTATCAAACTGATCAGCCGGTCATGCCTTTCCTACACAAAGACTTAACTGAACTACTGAAGGTAATTTGTACTGCCTTTTGCTTTACAAATTTATTAAGACATTATCCCCTGGTTTTACAGACAAGGCTTAAGCCTAGTCCAACACTGAAATGTAAGTCTAAGTTGTTTTAACTAAAAGAAACTTGCACTGACTGATCTTAAAATATATCAGTGCCTTTGTTTTGTCCAAAGATGCACACTAGTAATGTTTTTTCCTAGGGCACTTTTATAAAAATTACTTAAATGTCCTAAATGAACTATGACCAAATCCTGGCTTAGGCTAAGCCCTGTCTGTGAAACTGGGCCTTTGTAGTTATTGCAGCAAGATTTGGTA